TTTCAAACTGTTTGCTAAGAAAAGTCTTAAGAGCGGAAATGCTCTACAAATCATCGCCAATAATGATCATGTCATCCACATAAAGGAGGAGAAGTACACAACCCTGAGAGGTCTTACGGATGAACAAGACATGATCATAAGTGATAGATTGAAAACCAAACTGACAAACAGTAGAGCTGAATTTGGAGAACCATGCTCGAGGCGCCTGTTTAAGTCCATATAGAGCCTTATAGAGACGAAAAACCTGATTAGGGAGATGATCATAACCAGGAGGGGGCTGCATATAAACATCTTCAGAAAGATCGCCATTGAGAAAAACATTCTTAACATCCATCTGAAATAGCTGTCAGTGCTTAGCTGCAGCAATTGCAATAAGACTGCGAACAGAAGTGAGACGGGCTACTAGGGCAAAAGTCTCCTCATAATCAATACCATATTCCTGTGTGAACCCTTTACCTACCAATCTAGCTTTATACCTTTCAACTGAACCATCTGCCCGGGTCTTGATTTTGTAGACCCATTTACAACCAATCACGGATTTATCTGGAGGCAGGTCAACTAAATCCCAAGTGTGAGTGCTTGTAAGAGCTTGAATTTCTTCTGCCATTGCTTTCTGCCATAGAGGGTCAGTACTAGCCTCACGATAGGTACAAGGCTCATATAAAGATACAATGGTAGAATAACAATGAAAATTACAAAGAATAATGAAAGGTTTAATGACCCTACCAGAACGACGGAGTGGAGTATCATAATGATCAGGATCTAATTCATCAGGAGGAATCAAGGGCTCAGAAGAAGGCAGAGCTGGAGGATCCATAGCCAAGGTAGATGCATCAGGAGAGGTTGCAGGTTGTGCAGTACTAGCAGAGCTATTAGATGAAGAGGTAGTCGGACCTGCAAGTAAATCATCAGGAAAAAGCGAGATAGTAGGATTAGTAAAAAAATGTGAAGATGTCGTGATAACTCGAAATGGGGAGATATTGGAGAACATTTTGTGTTCCCAAAAGGTAATATGACGAGATATGCGAAGTCGTTGAGAAAGATGATCCCAACACGGATATCCTTTATGTTCAATACCATACCCGAGAAAACAACATAGACGTGCTTTTGGTTCCAATTTGGTATGTTCATGAGGTTGTAATAGAACAAAATAAGCACAACCAAACACACGAAGAGACTGGTAATCAGGGCAATGTCCATACAATCGTTCATTAGGAGAAATGTTACCAATAACAGGAGAAGGATTGCGATTGATGGTATAAACAGCAGTGATGGCTGCTTCCCCCCAGAAACGTTCAGGACAAAGAGGAAGAGATTAAAAGAGCTCGAATAGTATCAAGAATATGCCTATGTTTTCGTTCTGCACGCCCATTTTGTTGAGAGGTACCGGGACAAGATCTATGAATGATAGTTCCATTTTGTGAAAGAAATTAGGTAAGGATTGAATCTCTATATTCCATGGCATTATCAGTGCGAGAAAAAATTTGATGATAGAGGAAAACTGAGTTTTGATCATGGTGGAAAATTGAATATAAATTGCAGGTAATTCAGATTTATTACGCATGATCCATGTATATCGAGATAAGTCATCAACGAAAAGATGGATGGAGAAGATAATAATTTCTCTTGATGTTAAATTCAATAGGTTACAATCTATTTATAATAGATTGGGATATTAGAATACAAAAAGGATATGTACAGCTAGTACAACTAATTAGATTAGAATTATCTCTCCTAAGATTAAGGAGATAATGATACTAAGTGTGATAGAATGCGCTAACAAGCTTTGTGATGGCTCCCACTCTAAGCCTCTCACCTCACCACTGGCTCAAAGCCATACCCAATACCAAATTTCCATGGTTTTCAAAATCAGACGGGACTGGACATTCGGATCGGAAAATTGGGAATCAGTTAAGTGATCAATCCCGTTTTATTCCAAAACCATTATTTTGTCAAAAAGTGTTGATTTGGTCAGCAAAAACTGTTAAAGAGGCTGATGTAACATATGTAAAGGCTTTCAAGCAATATTTTAAAAGCTGACTCTGAATTGGAATCGTTCTAGTCACCAGTTTCTGAGTCAATGGTTTGATTGTCCATTTTGAACAATGACCTGTTCTAACAAAAAAAAAAAGTAAATAATAAGAATAAAAGTACGGCCAAAAACCATTAAACGGGTTGAACAGATTAACAGTTTGGTCGCCTGGGCCAACGGGTCATTGACCGATTCAATATTTTTTGGCTAAGGATCGGGTTCAAAATAAAACAGAACCAATTGCTTGAATGATTTTCAGGCCGAAAAATCCAACTGTTCATATCAACAACGATTCAAAAACATTGCTTTCAAGTAGCGACTTCTGGCGATGAAAATAGGCCTCATATAAAAAGCGTTGAAACCATGCTTGGTAATGAACTTGGAAAACCCGAATGTGATTTACTGCAGCCATTAAATCGATTTTCCACTAAAAAATAGCTTGTTCCATAATCCAAGGGGCTTAGTCAACACATCACACTCTCAAGCTCTTCCAAACAAATTTACTAGTGAACAGTCGAAATAACTGATTAACAACTCCTCTTTGGGCTTACTGATTTTTTTCACCAAAATGTCCCCACAAATTCATGTAGTATGATGATGCAGATGTATGTATGTTGTCACGTGACCAAAATGTCCCCTCCAATTTATTATTGGAATGGAATCATTTAATCATAGTTTCCTAGAAAGACGTCAGGAATCAACCAAATGCAAACCCACTAAAAACCCAGAAAAAAACATGAAATAGAAAAGAAAACTGTACTGTTTGTCTTTTCCCTCAACCATTTTCCTCCACCGTCTTGGGTATTTGAAAATCTGGTTGATTTTGTTTTTGGAAACAAAAACAATTATTTTAGAAGTTATTTTCCCTTCATTTACCTGAAGTTTGCCAATTCTCATTTACAATTGGAAAAATAAATGCAACTTTTAAAGTGAAACTTTATCACTCCTAATGTTATATATTTTACCTTAAGCAGCTGTTTAGAAGGTCTAATTTTCTGTTTCATAAAACTGAGTGGTGGCTCAGTTGATATGCATTTATCTCACTTGTACAGTGAAACTAAAAATTCTAAAATGGGCTCAACAGTTATTTTCCCAAAAAAAAATTCAGTAAAATTGTACAAATGTATCATCTTGAAATTCGAGAAAATAAAGTTGTTTATGACGTTTCTAGCTATGGCTGACTGTTGCTTGCAATAGTTAAATGATCTAACATTGACGTGGCAGCAAGACTATGCTGTTTTTTAAGAAAAAGGTGGTAAAAAACGTCTTACCAAATAAAAGTTTGTACATCTCTGTTTTGATGGCATCAACAATATCAAACAATACTCAATGGCCATTTTTCTTAGAAAACGACAATACAACACAACACCCTCTTTTGTACCAAACACCATTCAAGCGTTGCCGTTGCATACAACTAAAAACCTACAATCTACTCAACTTCGTTTTACACAAGTCAAGCATTGCATGTGGTCATGTGGCAAATGATAATGGACCCACATACTTGAAGCATTTAAACAGCTTTACAACTACCACTTGCAATTAATAAGCCCATTTTAATGTTTATCATTCTCTACATCTTTCCTTGACTTTTTTTATCTGCCCAAACTTGCCACGTGGAAAGAAATGGAGACACCAAACTATCAACTTATCTTTAACACAAAATGAACTAGAATAGACTTATCACGAAACGAACCAAAACATGCAGCATCCCTGCAACTCATATATACCTTTCCAGTTCCTCATTTAAGTAAAGGTCCTCTGTTTGAAGCCTCAAGTTTCTAGCATAAGGGACGCAAAGCCACATTCTGAGCTCAATTATTGAGGCCTGATCCACCATATTTAGTAATTGGAGATATCAGCCATCTTCAATGTCAACCGTAGAGTGTAGACAAAACATGATTGATTAAATGATCACAACCGTCCAATTCTCTCCTCTCCTAGTACGCCACCATCAATTGATTCAATTCCTTTGGACGCTGTTCTGACAGATAGAATCTGACGGTACAAAAAAAGGTAATAATTAGGATTATTAATTACTAATTAGTAATTATATGATTAAATTTGTCTCTTTTATGTCCTAAGCATGAGGGCGTCAGGGCCAGGGGTCAGGGGACCAGCTTCTAGACTCTACTGCATGTGCATTAACGCCAAAACCACGGGCGTTACTTGCTATTATCACCATTAATACCCCATCTTAACGTTTAGAAACATGTGGCCACGATGGACGGTGGGCTCCACTACATTTAACACTGCCGCGTGTGAAGGTATAGAGTATATAGTATATACCGACCGGGTCAATGGAGCATAATGTACGTATATTAATGCATGGGAGAGAGAAGAGGTTGACTTTGACCTTTTCATTACTTTATTTTATCTGGAATGAAAGTCAAACAGGATGGGTTGGGTTTATGGTGAACTGAGGCCCAACCCTAAGATTTAAGTTTAAGGCCCAGGCCTGAGGTCAAACCTGATTTTCTTAACCCGAGCCTAATCCACTGGAATTGATTAGATTTGGGTTAATTAAGAGTTAGGACTAAACCTGGTCCAAAAAATAAAAAAGCCCAAAATCTTGAACTCGAGCCTGACCCGACGATAAAAATCCAAGCTCAACCTGTGCATAATTCGGGCTGGGTGGCTCGGGTTGGGGCTGCCAATTTGTACTTATCAAGATGAATGAGTCGGGTCAACTTCGAACCGGCTGGAATGTACGCAAGCCGGGAGAAAACCCAGACTAACTCAGACGGTCTGGATGGTGAGTTAGCAACCCAAGTTGGGCATTTCATTTATCAGTGAGGGTAAATTTGGTAAAGATGAAGAAAATGTGCTGAATTGCAGTTACAGTAGCTGAGTTGGTTGGGTTTCTTTTGTCTCTCGCACTGTTACACAGTATGATTGCAGTGAGTGTTGACTGTACACAGTAGAATGTAGAAAATAAATAAATGAAATAAATAAATAAATAAAGTTCTATCAAATCCAGAAAATCGAGAAAGCTCGTTCTCTGTCTGTCTTCGTTTTTCGATCTTTTGAAGCGAGCCTCTCCGGCATTTCTTCAGCTTGGCTCTTTCATGGCGGCAAAACTATCGACATGTTTCAGTCTCTCGTCGCTTTAGCTTTAAATACGGGGCCGATGAAATGAGCAGTCCTTACCAGTTTACCCTCTTACCTTCGTTTTCAGGTAGATTTTTCTTTGATTCGATTGCTTACCTTTTATTTCGTCTTTCCCTTTTTCTTCTGTTCTGCACTTTTGGCCAGTGTGAATCTCCAAAAGTCTTGTTTGTAGGAGCTCTGGCGTCCCGAAAGTGTCTGAAAATAGCCACTGCAGCGTTGGTGGAGGTTTCAGGATTTTATTCAAAATCTGTCAAGTTTCACTTTTTATGAGGTTTTGTATATTTTCTGAGAAATCACGCTCCTCAAATCCCTTCATTTAAGGAATTAGTGGGCTGATGCTTCTGGGTTCTGCTGGAATCCTTCGTATTTGGCTCTTGTTAGATTTTTAAGATTTTCTAGCGTTGCCTCAGATCTTATAGGGTTGAGGTGATGTCTAGTGATTCAGAAAGTAGGATTTTCAGGCCTATTTGAACCTTTTCTTTAGGTAATAGACTATCCATCTGAAATTTCTGAAAATTTTTCTCTTCGCTCTTGGTTATGGTTTCTTCAACCCGAATAGCTTTCTTTGGGTAGTTTTTTAATCGGTGGAACACTTCGTTCTAGATCTGTTTCGGGTTGAGGTGATTTTCTGAGGGGAAATGGAGGGGCGGGTGAAGAAATACCGGCAAACGAGCCCGGAGAGGGCTAGAGTTTGGACGGAGCCGTCACCCAAGCACCAGAATAGGAAAGTTCCGGTGGTTTATTATCTGTGCAGAAACCGTCATCTCGAACATCCTCACTTTATTGAAGTTCCCCTCTCGTCGCCCGAAGGTCTATACTTGAGAGGTAAAAAGAATGAAAATTTATTTCTCTCGTCGATTCTTTCTCTTCATTACCTTCTAAGTTTCAATGCTCTCTTTGATCTTTTCTGTGCTTTGCAGATGTGGTGGAAAGGCTTAATGTTCTGAGAGGCAGAGGCATGCCTTCCATGTATTCGTGGTCTTGTAAGAGGTGAGTTTTCAACAGTGCTGGTGTTTCTTTGCCGTCCATGTTAGCATTAAAAGGGTTTATGTTTTGAAGATTTCTCTTAGTTCTCGCTTCTCAATCTAATTGGTTCTCTTTCTTTCCACTCCATGTTTGTGGGTCGGTGCAGGAGCTACAAAAATGGTTTTGTTTGGCATGATATTTCTGAAGATGACTTGATCCTTCCTGCACATGGGAATGAATATGTTCTTAAAGGTTCTGAACTCTTTGAAGAATCTCATTCAGGTAAACCACAGAGAAGAAATGAACTCTCTCAATTGAATTGTAAATTGATTATAACATGACAGAAATACAAGTAAAATCAAAGTTCTCAAACTTGAATTTCTTTTCCCCAGATCGTTTCCATCCAAATGGTAGTTCAAAATTGCAGGCTCCTAAGCAATTGCAAGAGCCCACATCTTCTCGAAGCCAAGAGACTTCTTCCTCTTCGTCAAGCTTGGCTGGGAAGGAGACCAGGCATCAAGAAGAGGAAATTTCACCTCCACTTCAACGTCCAAGTCCCTCCAGCTTGTCTCCAGATTTAAGAGTTGGGAAGAATTCCTCTTGGGCTGGATCTCTGAGCTTGACTGAGTACAAAGTTTGTAAGGGTGATGGATCAATTGATGCTTCAACACAGACTGAAGAAAGCATGAAGAGAAATAGAGCCCAGGAAACCTGTACGAGAGGCGTTTCTACGGATGATGGCTCATCAGAGCCTGAAAGCAATGTGAATCAACAAAACCAGGCTCTGAAAGAGAACTCTGAGCTTTGTAGGGATGAGATTTCCCCACCCCCATCTTCCTCAAGCACATCATCTTCTTGTGGGAAGATTGAGACTTTGGAGTCTTTGATCAGAGCAGATGCTAGTAAGATCAATAGTTTCCGGATACTTGAAGAGGAAGAAATTCGTATCCCTTCAAATGCTAAATTCAAGCCAGCAAATGTATTGATGCAATTGATCTCTTGTGGTTCCATCTCAGTGAAGGATCACAGTTTTGGACTTATACCGACCTATAGACCAAGGTTTTCTCATTCAAAGTTCCCTTCACCATTATTCTCTACTTCTGTTATGCTGGGAGAGCTGGATTGCCTGTCAGAGAATCCAAGGCTGATGAGCATGAGATTGGAAGATAAAGAATATTTTAGTGGGAGCTTGATTGAGACTAAGACTCAGAAGGGAGAGGAGGGATTGCCTGTTCTCAAACGGTCTTCTTCCTGCAATGCTGACAGGTAACTATGGTTCTTACTATCTATCAAAAAACTATGATTCTTACTTTCATGTTGCATTTGGTAACTGCAAGACTTTAACTTAGCTATTTCAGTAACAATCTATCAACATGTGTGGGCTTGCCTAATATACCAGACTTCAACTAGGTGTATGAATTCTAATTTTTAGTTTAATTGGAAAAATTTTATTTTAGGTGTATGTTTTGATACCCATTTGTGTATCCTTTGCATGCACAATTCTCCATTAAGAAAAACTCATTTATCAAAAAAAAAAAAAATACTCCATTAAGAAACAGGGGTGGATGGGCCTTTTTCTCTCCTCTATTGCTTTTAGATGGATTCCCAGTGAACTGAATGTAATGGCTGATTCCCAGGTAACTCAATAAAAGTTGCCTTATCTCAAAAAGAAACAATTAATTAAATTCAGTGAAGACTTATAGAAATAAACCGAGACAATTCCCATTCTTCCTGGAGAAGAAAGGGGCACGTGTGTGGTTTGCCATCTTTATATAAGCTATGCTGCACTCAGTAAAATCTTTGGTTGTATGATCCATGTGATTATTATTCTTGATTGGATTTCTATAATTGGTTGCATGATCCTGGTAAAAGTAACAAACGATTCTACAATGCAGGGCTTCTAAGGCATCGGACCCAGCAGAGGACAAAGAAGAGATGGAATCTGCACGTTCCAAGTGCATCCCACGGTCAATCAAAGCATCACTGGGTAAGCAGGCAAGGAGCGAAACAATGAGATCCCCTGTTTCAGAAGGGCCAAGGAATTCTTCAGCTGGTGCAGACTGTATGCAATCACCTTCTTCTGCATCAAACATTAGCAGCAGAAGAATGACGGAGCCTTTGGTAAAGAAATCATCAAAGAGCAGAGAAGAGAAGGAGAAAGTGATCAAAATTGAAGAAAGTTGAGTGTCCATATCCCTTGTGTATTTCTAGAATTGTTATGGATTTATCATTGTTTCTATGTTCTTATTGATTGAGGTGATATCTGATTTCTTACTGCAGGCTTGCTTCAGGAGCTCGGGTTATAATCCAATCCAAGGCGCCCTGTGCAAACAGCAAAGGCAACTCTTAGAGGGAAGAAATGGGTTGGATTGGACAATTGGTCGTTAACTTTTCCTGCGATGCCAAAGAAGGAGGTGTTCAGAAACATTGTGGAAAGAAGTTATCTCAGCTTAGAGCGTGGGAGGTTTGTATAATCTTGTATTTTGGTCTGCCATACTTCAAATTCCGGTGCAGGGGCCTTGTTTGAATTTTGAGGAAGAAGTGTATCTTTTGCCTTTTTGGCGGGTTGATGATGATGCTTCTGTAAATTTAAAAAAACGAAAAAGAGAATCAGTTCATTGAAGAACGAGACATGGGTGTTGGGGTGCTGAGGTAGTTTCTTTGTCAGCTTTCTTCAATGAGAGTGTACTTTACCATCCCAGATCTGTCATTCCTCCTGTTTATTTTCTCATTTTGCTTTATAAAACCAACAGTTGTAGTACTGCCCACCTGCGAAACGGAGGAAATTATGGCTATGAAAAAGGAAAGAAAGTAAAAGAAACTGTATGGGTGCGGTGGGGCTGTCATTGGCCTGCCTCGTTCAGACTGAGAGAGAGATCGAACAAAGCTGAGTGCTTCTGTGCTTTCTCTACTTTCTATTTATTTATTAACGTTTTTATATTGAAATTGTGTCACTTTGCTACTACTTTCGTTTCTCCTTTTGCTGGTTTTGACTCTTGGTCTTGGGACAATGGAAAGGGTAAAGCTCAAAGCAAAAGTCAAACTGAAAGCAGCTTATTTGGTGCCTTGGTGATAGTTCCGAGCTCCCCTTGTGGTTTGATAATGCGGTCTTTCCAGCATCGCAAACAAGAAACTGGGATTTTGGGGGTTGAGCTTTTTTGAAGTTTGACGAAGGAGGGTATCCCAGGTGGGTTCACGTGTGGTTGTGAGACAGTGAGAGTTCAAAATTTAGGTTCCATAATTGAGACAGCGCTAAAATATTTCCTTTTTTTTTGTCTCTAATCTGTAATCAACGGGACCCAAGGTAGAGACCCAAAGAAGAACAACTGTATTGGAGAGAGAAAGAGAGAGAGAGAGGAGAGCGTCCGTCGAAATTTCAATTTCTATTTTGTCTGGTATTAACGCGACGACCCAAGGAGACAAGAAGGCAAGAAGAGAAGCGGAAGACAACAAATAAATGGCTGAGCTGTCGTTTTCCTTTACCTTTTAGCTTTGGGAGCATCGGACAAAAAACTCTTTGGCTGTCCCTTCCGTTCTGCTTTGGCAGGTTTTTATCTGCTGGACTTTTTCTTTTGTGCAGTGGACCAGGTTCTTATTATTGGCCTCCCACTTGGATACTGCTGCGGCTGTTGCTGCTGGCCTGCTGCTGCGTCTTTCTATAAATCCTTAAAAGTATGTTTTTTTTTTTCATTGTTTTCAAAACCGGACCGGACCGGAGGTGACCGGTTCCCGGTTTTCTCCAAAACCGGATTTTATCTAAAAATCGTTGATTGTGATCAGCAAACCACTGACCTATGCGGTTAACCGTTCGAACGATTTTGACCGCTTTTTATTTTGTCAGAATGGACCGATTGTTCGGTTAGAATGGTCGGACCGTTCGACCTGGTAACCGGACCCCTGACCGGTTTGGCAAATTGGTTTTAAAAACCATGGTTCTTTTTTTTAATTAAGTATTTATTTTGAACCAGGACCACACCAATAATCCCTTGTGGGTTGGATCATGGAAGTGAGAAAATGGTATTTGTTTTTTTGTTCGAAGACGCTGCTGCGAGGTAGGACGTTTCTTGGAGCAACAACAATACCTTTTGTTTGGTACTAGTGCTTCATATCTGTTTTCAGCATTCGTAGTCATTATAGAAAGTCCACATCATGTCTTGATTGGCAGTAATGACTTCCAAATTGAGGAAATATCAAATTTGGCATTGCTACAAACCATGCCTTTTCGATTTTCAAAGCTTGGTTTGGAGCACTGTTTTTTGTGAAAAATGGTTCTAAACATGTTACCGTTTTTTGGAACACCGATTTTTCTAATGTAATGCTGTTGTGTAATCATTTTCTGGAGAAACGGCACCGATTCCAAACACCACTTAAATGCTCATAAGCACTTTTAGAATAAATACTTATTTTAACATTTTTTTTTCATATAATTAACAGCGTGTGGTGTTAAAATTAAGAGTCAGATTTGGGCTCCACCCAATTGATTATATATCAACTATCAACAATCAGCTGAAGCATATCAAAGCATTTTTTTTTGGCGCCTTTTACTGCATTACTGCAAGGATATTGATGAGAGTAGGTTGAGTTATGTTAAGGAATATTGTATTGAGAAGCCAACGTTAAGATAAAATATGGGATATATATGTACGGGAATGGGATGAATTACAAAAGCACCATGTCCAACAGGATACGGAATCAATCAAGATTCAAAGAGTGACCACTCCATTGTTTCTTTGTGGACGTGGGGCTCACATTATGTGTATGTGCTGGGAAAATTGTACAAACCTTTGTTTACAGCTCATCTAAATTGCCATGATTTGCATGGTGGAATGATTGGAATATGCATCAATAACATTAAATATAAGTTGTATAGAATACAACAAAAAGAAATTTAATGGCTTTCAGAAAAAGACAAGAAATTTAAGGCGCTGTTTGTTTGTAATAAAATTTTATTTGCATGGGTGCAACATTATAGGCGTACAAATTACGTGTGAGTTTTGGTTCACTTTTGTTTCAAGTTTTACTTAATTTTGTTTGTGTGTTTGTTTGAAATAAGAAGTAAAACAAAAGCTAAAGTAAATTAAATTTTGAAGGAAAATCAAACCAGAATTTGCATTCTTTTTTGTTTGCACTCTTGTGTTATTGTAGTAGTGAAAAGAAAATTGCATTACAAACAAACAAAGCTTAAATTGAAATGACTATGATGGATGTAGATATAATATGCCTTATATTTATCAATTTTTGGGTTGAGGGGCATGTCATACCCCACTAATTGAAATGGATAGATACAACTAACATGTCTCTAAACATGATTTTGTATTAAACTTGTTTGTTTCACATTTAATTGAGTATAATATATTTGACACCTGTAAAAATGTGAAGAGCATATTATGTTGAGTTCATTTATGGGTTTCCACTTCTCCTTATAGATTATAATTCAAAAAATTGTATCATTTCATATTTTATATGTATTGATTTGTAATAAGTAAACCCATTCATGTGCATGGTATTATTTATTTGCAGATGCATTATGCATACTAGTTTAAAATAATGAGTTTATATGTATTTTGCACATACATGCATATTCCATGTGGTTGATGTTTTGGATGTAATGTATCATTTCATACAAACCATTAAAATACATACTTAGGAAGTCGGTTCAATTATGGTGTATTCACGAATATTAGCTGCACATTAAATTCAGACTTCAACTAATAACAATGAAGTCTTTTACATTTAACAAGATGTATTTATTATGATGTTTAATCAATTACGTTCTTTGATACATCTCTTAAAATTGTCTTTCTAGAAATTTATTATATTGATCTTTTAAGGACGAAACAACAAATGAAAAATACGGTTTGCCAAAACTTAAATGGGAATGGCCTGAAGTTCGAGCCCAAAGCAGTGTAAAGCCAAGCCCGACAGGCAGCACATGAACATGTCTAGCTTCTAACTCAGTATCCTGGTGCCTGATATCTATCGTGAAAAAAGGGAGTGAAAGTGAAATCGGTTTAACTGGGCCAATGGGCCAGGCCTTTGTTATGGTCTTTTGATTTATGTACTAGCAATTTAGCAAAAGCAATAAGAATCACATGTAAAGGGAATGTGCTGTAGCCTCATTTATATACTTGTAAATTTTGTGCTTTGCATATCAACCCGGAGGTGATTGTTGCCTTGTTGGGCCTAAAGCTCAATGTACTCACCTATATCAACAACGCATTTACAAAAGTTAAGTCATGCTCTGATGTTGACAGGAAGATTGCATAAGTGACCAGTGAGTCGAAGGAGAGAGCAGATTAGCTGCTGGGATCAAAATAATCGATACAGCAACTGTTCAACCTAAAAATTTAAGCTGTTTAGCGCGGTATTTGAATAGGTTTTTATTCTCTTGACACACCCTCTCATACAAAAGTTCATTGGGCTTTGAAGCATGGACAAATATAGGCCCATTCATACTTTGAAGTGTAAACACTAAAAACCACCTGATCAAACAGGCTCTAATATCATCTTAAAAAACCATTCAACAACCTAAAAGCTAAAACTTGTAAGTAAGGTCCTTGAATAGGTAATCCTTACTCAGGCAGAAGTGTATATGACATACAACCACTCAATCTCTCTCTTCCCATCTATGTCTGGTGTGGGGTGTGGGGCGTAGGGCGTATTAATTGGTCAACAGCCCGTCAAACAGCTATGAACTAATCCATTTTCATCCAGATAATTGCTTGATAGGTTGGTTTGATTGGCCACATAATCTACTGTCTACTTCATCCCTTCCTTGGGCCTAGCACCTTGGGCTGAGTATGTCCATAGTCTAGAATTACTCTGGCCCAGTAAGGCCCGTCTTGATATTTATCAAAACTTTAGTTCGAAAACATGCCAACAAATGGCCCATTTTAGGCATGTTAGGAGAGGAGAGCATGTGGAGGTATTGGGTATTGGGGACAGGGGACCTACCAATGTTTTCCGGTTCAAATAGCTAGTGACAGATATTTCATTAGACGTTTTAAATTAACCACAGTACGCATCTAGACATCTATGATCTGTCACAGATTGAATGGAAATCTCGGAGAAAAGTGCAGGAAATTTCAGTAGCTAATAATTTATTGAGTTGTATGATTTGATTTTTTTTGGTAAGGAAGTTCGACCCAAACACTTGGGCACCGGTTGGTTCATGGGATTAGAGGTCTAGAATTGGAATTGGAATTAGTCATTCTGATTCTAACTATTTGGTTGGGTGAAATCGAAGTCCTATTCCCATTTTTGTTGGAATGACATTCCTCCATTTGAAGAAATGATTATTACCTGCCTCTCTCTTGGGAATAAAATCCTATTTTTGCTGATTCTAATTCTTAATTCCGTTCCTATTTCATTCCTAATTCTGATTGTGAATCAAATGGACCCTTATTTTAGTAAAATAATCAAATAGAAACTCAACGAGGCAAATGAGGTCTGGTAGAGTTACGTGGCTGACTAAGCATTTAAAATGATAATAGATATTCTGTTAAAAATATATTTTTTTGTTTTAATTAGAAAATAAATTTCCTATCTTTTAACTCTTTAATTTTCGACATCATACGCCACCAAATGTAAAATTACTAAGATGGTATTTCTGATAATTGTCACTGATGGTGCGCGATCTGGGTGCTCCTAGCTGTAGGGCAGTTCGGACGTCTATTGACAAGTAGGTCACTCGAACTGCAAAGAAAAGGATGACCAGAGAACCTAGGGTGGCTAACCCGGCGAGGTCGCTCCGATGCTTAAGTCAGTAACTGTGATATGCGAGCTAAGAGTTTCAGAAATAGGAGAGCTAGGATGCACTTAATTGCGCGTACTTGGGTCTTGGGAGCCTATGCCCTTATATAGTTGAGCTATCGTGGGTCTCACAAAACGGCTTTGGGATCCTCGGCCCACGTAGATGGAATCTATTCCACTTTAGAA